AAAATATTTATTTTAATAATTTAGGGTTTTATTACTTCAAAAAAAAAGGTTAAGTTTGAATGCTACTTCCAGCCTTGGTTGCCAGCCTGAACCTCGTGAGCCTTCACTTTCTGAAGAAGGGTCCCGACCCGAAACGTCAACTTTCCTGCTTCTCTGATGCTGCCTGGCCTGCTGCGTTCCTTCACCTCCACACTGTGTAATCCCTGACTCCAGCATCGGCAGTTCTTACTATCTCTTCTTTCTATCTTTTAGGTTTGGCCGTACCCAGGCCGCCGTCATGTCTTTATTTAATTGATTTTCAAGAGAAAATTCCATTAAATGAGGTGAAAATGTTTGTCATGTCCTATGGACATAAAGGTGAGTAACAGGGATAAAAGTCTCCAACCATTCTGAATCAATGGGACAAATAAAATGTTGATTCGTTTGTGAATCTTGCCTCTCAACCCTGTAGGAACGAATCCTATTAGCTCCCGGGGGGTAATGGGACTACAGTATGCCAAACTCACCTTATCGTTCTGATAGGCTGTGACCGCGATGAACTCTGTCTCCGGGAACACGTAAGTTCGGAAAGTGCTGTAGGGCAGTTTGAGAATGTCGTTGGCGCGGACCACGTGGAACCTGGGCTGGTATTTGTGCATTGAGTTCAGGATGGTCTGAGGAAACGACAGAAAACAACTCAGGTTAATTCTGCAGAAGGGCAGCCCGCAGATTGCTTCTTGCTTCTGGGCCCAGGAATCTGGTGAAAAACACAAACAAAAACTGATCATTTCTGGTGATTTCCCTTATCTCTCAACTCCTCAGCACTCCTCCCACACACAGAGGAGCGGCATAGGGATACTGCACCTTGCCCTGATGGATTTTAGTTTTTTAAAAAAATCTCAGTACGCAAACAAAACTCGAAACTTTGAACTGCCCTGCTTGTCTACAGCTAACCTCGCTTGTGTTCTGCAATCAGTACAAAACACCAGAAAACCAGGAATCAACATATGCACCTGAGCACTCGAATGTAAATAGTACTTTTAAACTGGAGAATACTGAATAAGATCAAACCAAGTATAAAAAAGTCGATTATAATTTGACATTAACCACGTTAAAATCAGCTCTAGTTATTATTTTACGTTAAAAATGGTAATTTCAAACGGTCTACTCTGAACTGTAGGTGCTTTGACGTGTTTTGTATTACAAACATCTATGTTGAGGTCACCAGTTTCATGCTGTAATTTGACTTCAATTTCTTTCCATTTCCCCAGCTTTATTTTTAAAGCATGGTTATTATTACACCATATCTATGACAAGGTTCACAGATTGGAATCTGAAAAGAACTTCAAGAACACCGAGGAAAAAAATGTCCTAAGCTTAAATTAAAAAAAAGTCCTGGCAAACACTGAAAGCCAAACTGAGGCATTGTCTCTGACACATAAAAGACACAGACACTGGATCTGGGCATTGATGCGTCATCTGAACTCTGTCCTGGGTTTATATAATATAAAATGTTACAGTGTTTCCCCGCTCAGGCGTGCAAATCATCTAGAGCCAAACCACTCAAAGCCTGGATCAGTAGGACAAGCCTGTGAGTCCCTGGGCTCTCAAAATCCTTCTGATATAATTCCTTTAATCTTCGATAAGAACCTTCAATACAGAGAGATCCGAGATACACCTTTCAAAAATGAATAGCATTTCATATTATTTATTAATAATGCCAACTGCGTTCGCAATTCAGTCACACAAAAATAGATTGCAAACAATCGATGGAATCTTTCACAGTTATTTATCATCTCTCGATGGATTAGTCTCAAGTCTAACAGAAACCCATTTTTTTCAGTAATTTGTTTTAATTTTTGAAACTGTTACTGGTAAAAGCGAGCGGCATTTTTTGTTCACGCTTGCTGATCTAGGTCGAATGCTCTGTGCTTCAGGGCGCTTTCTGCACGGCTCTGGCTCATAATGGCTGCTTTTACCTCCAGTGCCATTCCTACAACCTTCAATCAAGTTTCTCAGACACTGCATTAAAAACATGCATTCCCCTCGCAAATAAATGGCCACAAATTGTTTTCCATTGGCCCCTGTCCACCTCTAAAGCATCACTGGCGTGATTGTTCGAAGACCTACTGGCTGAAGATAAGAGATCACCCATTCAGTAGTCAGGCTCTTTCTAACTAGCGAGCTCTCAGCTCTCGCTCTCTTTCTCTCTGCTTCCTGACGCCACAAAGCCTGACCTGCTTTTCACAACTCATATCCTTAATACACTTCAGCTTGTCCCCGAGTAAGAACACTGCAAAAAAAGGCCTACAACAGTAATATTTAAAGTCAATTATAAACTCCTTAACCTCGACACAGTCTCTACCACTGATTTCTAACGTCCCTTTCAGCCTTTAATACGTTTGTGCTCAGCCATATCCCTGATTCAAGGAGTGTAGGACGATTAATAAACCTGACAGCCTGTGGTCATTGTTTCAAACGGCCCCTGCCTCTCACAAGAGGCGGTACATAGATTGGAACGCTAGCAGAATTCAGATTTTTTTCCTGTACATTCAGCATCGTATTGACCTGCTATATTTCACTTTGACCCTCAACGATTTTCTTCAGAAGTGAAATGATTACTGTAGTATTGTGGAAGGATATTGCTTTAACAAATTCTATAATATTCTGTTAATGGAATTGTATCGATTTTATTGGAAATAATTCAAATCGGTGTCCGTGCTCCCATTCTGCACTGAAAGTGGCCTGGCCCGAAACGTCAGCCTCTCTGCTCCTATGATGCTGCTTGGCCTGCTGTGTTCATCCAGCCCTGCACCTTGTTGTCTGGTATTTCTGAAGCCCTGAATTCACTTTTCCCAGAGATTGTTCGCCTATTGCTGAGTCAATTCCGCCAAAATCCATATCAAATCTGTCATGCGGGAGTTAGTTTTAAAGCTTAAGTTTAATGTAGTCACAGGGTCATTACGGTGTAAATGATCGACGATGCAAAACAGATTTTAAAAGCTTAAACAACATGACAATATATTAACGTAACAGTCCCAAGCATGGGGCAGTTGTTCAACTGTGTAATCTCACCGAGAATACTTACAAAATAGGAACGAGTCAAATGGAAAGTAAATAAATCGACCTACAGCAACACTTACGAATCCATGCTTGTCGGATATGTTGTTGGTGAGTTTGAGTTTGTGAAACGTGACTGCTTTGGCCATCCATTGTTCGCCGGTTGCCGGACTGTCTGGGTGAATATACATTCTCTTCGGCATCTCTGGATCTGCTTTCCCGGCCACCATCCAACGCGAATTGTGAAATTTGTAACGACAGTCGTCTGCTGCCACAATGTCCATCAGTAAAATATATTTCGCCTTTTTATCCAAACCGTTGACTCGCACTTTAAACGGTGGGAACATTCTCCTAATACAGCAATGAAACACATGAAGCAGGACATTTAAATGAAGATGGGGTCGTGGTGAGAAATCAAATTCAGTTTTTAAACAACGGTCAAGATCCTTCAAATTAAAATGTGACACTGAATCAGAGTACATTTCAGTCATGCACTAAACTCTTTATGTTTCCTTGAACAGCTTTTTTATTCCTAAATTGATAATCCTTCTGTTAAATATTTCATTCTCAAAATACTGAATTAATATTGTAAATAAGATACAATATTCTCCAATTTACCTAACCTCAGTCATTCTTATCAGAGTTTATCCTCCAGTGTAATGTCTAGGAAGAAGGCACAAGTTTATTCTCTTCAAACGAGGATTAAGACAGTTAGCTCAATATTTGGCCACTTGTTAAAATTGAGCAATCTCGTCGCATCTAGCTGATCTTTCTTTCGCAGTCTGCTCGACCCCTTCCAGCAAAGAGACATTGGCCGATTACCATCAAAGATTATAATTAGCAACAGACTTATCGCTTCGAACTCAGAACCTCAGTAAACGACACAGGGAGCGCTCGGGACAGCTAAGGGCCAAATAGGATTCCTTCCAAAAAAACAGTAGTTTGCTGTAGCTTTATTAGGTAGAGAAAAAGTTGTCGGAAGTTGGATTGTAAAGATAAATGAACTCTTTTATGTAAATGTGTACGTGCAGTTTTAAACTGCGTGATTGGAAAGCGACGGAAAGGAGACTGAAATAGCTTACCCGCCCTCTTTATGTAGATTTAAAATATACAGAGATGACTCACAATCCTGTGCAGAAAATACAATCTATAGGGGTTATTATTTCGCTCTTTAATAAGGAACTGCACATCAAAAGTACGCCCTGGTAGCTCCGATTCTGCCTTTGGCATGTTGTCAATTTGTTTCTCTTAAGAACTTTGTAAATTTACCAGAAATAATTCAACAGATGACAGGTTATTAATTGCATTTTGCATTTTACAGAAAAACGAGATGCAAATGAGTTGGGAAAGATAAATAATGATGAGAATGAGAAAGCCTGGTGTATGAACTGGAGACTGTCCTCAGCGTTATCCGTACCTCCCAGACTTGGTAATAACCATTTCGGTGCCGACTTTGTGAAACTGGTCCCACAAATCTTTAGCCTCCAGGTTCACTTTGGGATCGTCCTCGACTTCGTCTTCTGGTTCCAGGCTCTTGAGAGGTCGCAGGTGTGCCGACTGGTGTCCCAGAGCGGAGACGCGGATCCCGGCCTCGGCCATGTTCGGGTCCGTCAGGGGTTTGCCCAGAGCTCCGGGCAGCGAGAGAGCAGCCGCCCCGCTCGGCGGCAGAGTCAGAGCGGGGAAGAAGGAAGGTTGAGCGGCCAAGAATGTGCTCATGGGGAAGTCCGCGGCCCGGTGAGCGTGGAACGGATGATAAGCCATGGTAGACGCCGCTAAAACTGGTTCACTCATCGGTGCATCCGGAAAAAGGGGGGGTGGGGAGAAGATTTCTGTTGGAAGAGTCGCCTACGCCGGATCTTCCTCACACCATCTCCTTGAAGAACCCGTACAGTTCGGCAATCTCTTTCTGTGTGAGTCTGTCTCTCTCTCTCTCACACACACACACACATACACACACACACAGATCCCTCCTGCAATGATCTTCCTTCGGCTCCGTCCTGCTAATGAGCCGCCCAGTTGATTGGTGATTTTACACGCCCTGACCAATTGTGTGCCTGGAAAGGCGGGGTTTTCACAACTAAAGCCCGGAGATGGATGAGTTGAGAGAAAGGAGGGGTGGGGAAAAGGTGTCGGAAGCTTCAACGTACAGTAAGCATCACTGCGATCGCTCTTTGAAAACATGTCAACAAAATTAAATATTAACCAATGACAGAAGGCATTTTCCCCTGTCTCCTTCTCCACCCCCCAAAGCCCCCCACCCACTCAAGCCGCCTCCATCCTCCCCGTGTCCCGGATTAAGAGAGCCCGGCCCCGGACACCGACTTCACGGCGCACCGCAAAACACCTAAAGCTACTAAAATCTCCAAAATCCGCAGGTAACATACTGATGTAACAATGTGCAATGATTTTACGTATAAAATAGACGGGATCTGAGCGGGATAAGAAAGCCTAGACTTGCGTATTACTTCAGATTGAATATATTTATTTTAAACTACTGAATTAATAATTGTAGGTATTTCATGCTGGCGATAAGGTCTTGTATTGTTTATGCCCTTGTATCACTGTGAGTGAAAGCTTGTAACGGTGTTTAGACTGTCGTAAATATTTGGAAGAACTGGGCAATAGAATTCTGCAGTTTTTTTTCTCCCAGCAACTCTTAATAATTATTCTCCTTTATCCTGGGTTAAACAGACACGGAACACAGAGATCCTACACTTTGCAAACTTAACAAAAGCAAGAAATTTCAATTTTGATTTATTTCCAGAATTTTTGTCAAGAACGAAAATGAATCAATTTAAAGCGCCCACGTCGTTTTCATTTTAAAAATGTAAAGTTTGTAAAGCCAAACTTTTTTTATCTTTATTTCTTCTAACTTTATAGAACCACTGTCCCTTTGCTCGTAAAATCACCAGCTAAGAGCAACATTGACAAATTTTTTTATATGGCAGTGGGTCCCACCAGATGGCGTAATTAGGATTTGAAATGAAGTTATTGGAAGATAAAACGCGACCTTTCATTGCAGAGTGGATCAGTGAGGGTTTTCTGGAGGTTGGAGGGAGGGGGCAATGTTCATCCTTTCCACTCCAGTTGCCTTGTGTGTGTGCCTGGTCCGCACAACCAGCCCTGGCAACGAAAATAAGGACGTTGCCCTTTGTAATCTTAGAACCAGCAAGTTGCCCAAACGCTCCAGCGCTTTGCGAATCGTGGGAAAAGCCGGGCGGGACGCTCCAGTAAAACCGAACATCTGACACTACATATTAATGTCTCTTTATATACCACTATTTATATACATGCGAGCCATAAGAGTTTGTGAGGAAATGGGGGGGACAGGAAGGGGAAACACCGTGAATTTTCATTCTGTGGGATATCTAATGGATTTGTTTGTCACAGTTAAGGGTTTGGAGTTTAGCAGGACGGCAACCCTTCACAAACCCATGAGAAAATGTCATGGAGGGAATGAGCTGAGAATCCGGAGGTGCGCAGGGCAGCAGATTCTCGGGTTGGGAAATGTAAGGTTCCTCAAAACTATCTCCTCCGATTAAGTCGGACATGGCTTGTCGAGAGCGCTTGGCGCCAGTCTGCTGACGTCCAACAATAAGCACCGTCTCCTGTCACTTTGCATTAACCAAAGAAATGTTACCAGCGCCCCTCCTCTCCCCGATTCATGCAACCTTCCCCGAAATACCCTCCGCTGCAAACATGGAAATGCAAGCGTGTCTGCCAATTTCGAGTAGGATAAAAAAAACCTTCCAGTTTAAATCATTAATTCTGTTGGGTTGATATAGATAGAACATCAGGGATCGGAATGTTGGCGTTTTGCAAGCGGGTAGACACGCACTTTAGTCGGTCAGAGTTCTACTCGATTCCTGGCTCCTACTTTTGATCTACATGCCTCAGACCTGATTGACCCGAGAATGAACTGACCTGAGCTAAACGATAGAGAAACACAGACACGCGCACGCTCACATCATTTATCATTTAGCAAAAGGTGATTTGTGTTTTTTTTTAAAACGAAACTATTCATCTTTATTCTTTCCCACAAACCTCACATCTACATTGGTCCTTTTCAATGAGAAGATATGAATCGACACAAATCGTCCGGACTGAAGGATCGAATATGTTTAAAAAGTTAATTAACAGCAACCCGATGATACAGTTATGATAAAGTATTCTCTTTTCACCAAGCCATCAGCCACCATTCTCAACGTGATTGTTTCTCTCTCAAATGTTAGGAAACTGAATACACAGACAGTAGGTCAAGGAGACCTAAGTACTCCACAGTCGGGTTTATAGCCGCATTATCCTGCATCATTCCCGATATTTTAATATTGTCCAGTTGGAGGGACATCGCATGATTTGTAGATAAATAAATTCTCTTCCCTGGCTTTAGAATCTGATCTGTTATGTTAACATAAATTGCCACTGAACAGGATTGATACACGTAGCTCAATGCCGCCAGTGAGCGAGAGAGGAGATAGGCATCTGGGTCTCTATCGAACAAGGTGCGATATGGCTTTTGTCTTTAGCCTCTCTATCTGTTGACGAGATAGTGTCACTGGCGCCACGAACAGCCCCTAATACCCGCAACAATAAAAGGACAATCTCTCCATTTATACAGGATCATTGTCTCCAAGACTGCTCTTTACTCGCTTCTCCAGTTTAAATAAAAAGTTTAATCAAAAAATATATGCAGGTAGTTTTTTGATGATTACTGGTCCAGTCTGGTGAGATAGCTAGCTAATGTTTAAAGATAACCCCCACACCATCCCATAACAGTCAGCCGGGGAGGGAGGGGATGTGTACAGTGAGGACTGCTCCCATTGCTCGGCGTTCTCATTCAGGGCAATTACGCCTCACCTAAAATTATATTAGATAGCCCGCCAAAGAACTAAATGGTTCTGGCACCCCGTGCGGCGTGTTACTCACACGGGAATGTTAGAATGTTGAAGCGAAGTTTCCTTCAAAGATTCACATTGGCAAAAAATGCAAATAGAAAGATTGTAAAGAAGTTTTTACACAGAAAACAAACGTATTGCATAGAACTGTGAAATGTCATCCTGTATCTGTAGGAAGTAAAACTACTCATGGGAAGTTGAAAAGATTCATACTAAATACATAATTTCTCAAGTCAATTAATAGGAGGGGGAGGATTTTTTTCCGTAAATCTTTCCCTAGCCATTAAGTGATTTTCTGAAGAGGTTATTCCGCGCACAGATCCATTCAGAATTGTGAAACAAATTCGAGTTAGGGATATCAACCAGGTACCATGGAGGCTGGTTTGTAAACAACTTCACTTTGAATTCACATTTGCATTGTAACAGTTATGTTTCAAGGTTACAATTAAAACTGCTGATGAATAAAACACAAATCAAAATACTCTATTGTTATATTTAAAAGATTCCAAAAAAAGACACAAATACGGTTCTGATAACAAACCTTATAGGGTGAGGCCGCGCGTAGTAGAATTTGGATGGAGCTGATGGACTAGAGAGAATTACCTTTCTCAAATAAACTGCCAACTTCCCACGGTTTGTTTGTTGGGCGCCTGAACAGATGATTCAGTTCCATGTTTTCACTCTTTAACCTTTCCGGCCGGTGCGAGTGCCAGGCGTCACAAAATTCTCAGGTTTTGCATTATCTCTGAGTTAGCCTCAGCATTTCGAGGTCACTTTTTGGCTACTGTCGGTATTGAAAGTTACAGGTTCGGAAGGTAATATTGCATTTTCGCTGTGTGATACAAATTTCAGAAAAGGCTGATTACACACCTATGTAGATGTGTAGATTTTTGCCGCATGTTAATGGAGTTTATTGTGCAGAGCTCTGTGTTTTTCAGTTATGATTACATTATTGAATTGCATAAGTTTTATTTATTTGAAAGCTACATCACAACCCTGACCTTTTTACGCAGCCGTGCACCAATGAGTCTTTAATCTTTTTTTCCTCTATCTGCCTGTCTTTTCCTTTCAGCGCCCGGCACATTACCGAATTATATCAGCATTTCTGCTCAGTAGCTGCATAAGAAATAATCCCATAACATTTAAAACATTCCAGCTTCATACATCCACAAGTAACTAGTACACAGGATGAATGTGTACAATATTGCATTACAGGCTCAAACATTTATCTTGTATTATATCTACTTATTAATATGCATTTACTTTTTGGCATAAATGGTCATATTCTCTGAAGCAACCTCACTCTTTCAAGTTATCCCTGGTTCCTGTGGTTTTGTTAAGACCGGCATTATGGTGTTCATTTACAGACGTAACTTTCTTGAATTTCTACAGAGTAGATACTGTCGCTTGTCCATGAATAGAAAACGTGAATTAAAAATTGCAAATGTCCTTTGTATATTCCTGAACAAGAATCAATGTTAAAGGCTGTCACTTTTTTAAAACAATATATCATTTTGTAAAATAATCTGTTTAAACGGGGCTGTTCAATTGCAAACGCAACATTCGAATAATTATGAAATTTTTGTCGATGTTTAAATCCCTGTGGAATTTATTTTGCAAATGTAAGCCACCAAACTAGATGGACTAGAGTATAAACATGTTCAGATTTTTTTTGCCGTCGTGACTCCTGCTCAATTTAACTTTCCCTTTTATTGCTATCTCGGCACATTGTCGTATAAATTTAAAGGTACACTGGGATTAAAATAGTAGGAAAACTGTACATTTTAAAACGCATGTTGGTACACTTGTATGTGAGTTTGTGTGTCTGTTATATCTGTATTTGAAAGAATAGGCGTCCTGAATGCATGTAAATGAGTATGAGTTTATTGTGAGTACAGCTGTGTGAATTGGGCGTGTTGTGTTAGATTGAGCGTGTGTATTTGCATGCGTTGTGTGCGAACCTGGGAGTGTGTGTGGTTATGTGCTGAACGGGGTGCGTTGCGTGAAATTGAGCTAGAGTATCAGCCTCTCTGAGGGAATATATGTACGTATGTATGTCTTTGTTGAGAGTAAGCCTAATGTTAATGTGCAGCAAAATCAGAAATTGCTGGAAAAACTCAGCAGGTCTGGAGAAGGGTCAGTAGACCGGAAAGGTTAACTTTGCTTTCTCTCCACAGATGCTGCCAGACCTGCTGAATTTTTCCAGCAATTTCTGATTTTGTTTCTGATTTCCAGCGTCCGAAATTCTCTGTTTTTTTGTATGATGTGAATGTGTTTTGTGCGTACAGCAGTGTCTGTTCGACTGGGCGCGTTTAGGTGCGGCGGTAGATATGTATATGTATGTATTTGCCTGGGAGTGAATGTGCTTAGATATGTGTGTTTATGGCTGTGCCTGTGTGTGTGTTTATGTGTGTGTGAAATGTGTGTATATGAGAAAGTTTGTGTGTATGAGCAAACGTGTGTATATGTTTGTGTGTATA